AAACCTAGATGGTCCAAGGTTTCCTGTGGCCGATTGCCTCCAGCTATCCAATATCATCAAATCATTGTGCACCGTAATGGCGAGATACCAAGCATGGTGGTCGCATTGCAAACCTGACTGATAGAATTCAGTCAACACCAAAGAAAGGAGTAGACACGTCACACTAGTTACTAGTGTCCAATCATAATTTAATGAATTCATCAAATTTTGATATAACGCTTCCTCAGCTGAATGCTTTACGTACATGGATGAATATGTACACTATTAGAAATACATCGGGAGATATAAGACTGATAAACAAATAAAGTATAGTGAATAAATCTTGCAAAGCGATAGGTTTGAATATCTTTCAGGTCATACCATACCACAGATTAGTAAAATGGTTATGTGAATTATTGCAGCCTTTGCAAAAACGCTTTGGAACGTTTTTAGCCTCTGGTTCATTCCAATTTGTCAAGGAAATTATTCATGTCATTGTCACTCATGTAAGCATTTACTCTCTTCACAAGTGTTCCAGTCATTGAGACTATTGACTTTATGGGTGGCTAGAGAAGCTAACGACGTAGACATTCCAACATCGGAATTGAGGAAATTGTTGCTCTTGTGTACTGAAAATTTTCCATTTGAATTCCATGGGCATCTGTTCCGTCACTTTGATAATATTGCAATAGGAAGCCCCTTGGAACCAGTTTTCGCAGATTTATTCTTGTCAGACCTAGAAGCCGTTTCTTTGCACCAGCACATACAGAAAACGGAGTTACACCTAAGATATGTTAATGATAATTGTCTTTGAAAGCAAATCAACGGCTGAAGAACTACTGACAACATTCAGCTGCTGTCACCTGAATCTAAGCTCCACAATATAAGATGAGGAAAATGATACGATTAAATTCCTAGATGTTTCTCTGATGAAAAGAATTCATGGCACAACTATGAAAGATTTATATCTAGAAAGTCTTCATGGACGACTGGACAGTATATACACTGTAAAAAATTTTGTTCCAATCCAATATAAAAATAACTTAGTCAAAACACTGTTCAATAGATCACGAAAACTTTCTTCTGAAGGATATTTTATTTAAGAATGGATATCCAGAGAAGTTCTTTGATGAATACTCTAAAGAAATGAGCCCCAGTCGAACTATCCAAACAGTTCCAAAGAAATCTTTCTATGTCAATTTTCCAGTCAAAGGAGATGATGTACAAGAGGTAGTCGAACGAAGACTTGACAAAGCTATCAAGAGGACTTACTGTGCTGCGAAACTCGTGTTACTTAACACCACTAAGCGGATACTTCAACAATCTGAGAAAGACCAATCCTTGACACTTCAAACTGTGTATATCAGTTTGAGTGAGTTTATGGAAGCAAACAGATAGGTCGTACAGAAAGGCGGTTGTCTGTTTACTCGCATGATGGAGCATTAGCCAAAGTGTTAAAAAACAGCTGAAGTCAAAGTGCCTAGAATTTCAGTAACAAAGCATCTTGTGATCTACGGACATGATATTGCAACTGTCAAGTTATTCACTGCTGTCAGCAGAAAGAGAAACAGGAAGATACTTGCGACTGCGGAGGCTTATGTAATTAGAGTTTGTAAACCAGGACTCTGTGCACAAAAGGAGGTGGTCATCACTGTGAATCTACCATGATAATACATTTTACTTATTAACTGTTACTATACGGATCAGAGAGTTGCCGCGTCATAAAGAACACCTCAAACAAACTACAGACCTTCATCAACAACTGTCTTCGCTCAATCACACTCAAGATCAGATGGCTAGCCAGAAAAGATCAGCAACAGTGTGGGGTCTCTGGGAGCAAACCAACCAGGAACCGTTTATGCAACAAATAAGCAGGAAGAAATGGAGGTAGATTGGCCAAATTCTGAGAAAACAAACCATAAAGTGACGTCACAAGACAGGCCCTCGACTGGAAGCCCAACGGGAAGCGGCGAGTTGGTCGTTAGTGAGAGAGTGACATGGAGGAGGTCATGTGAAGAGGAGATGAAGGAGTATGGGCAGACGTGGACCCAGGTTAAAACTCTAGCAGAGAACTGAACGCAATGGAGACGCGCTGCTGAAGCCTTTTGTCCCTCTAGGAATTAAAGGAAATAATAATAGTAAAAATAATAACTGTTATTATTATTATTGATATTTTATTCTACCTCTTATTATTATTATTATATCTGATTCATTTAAAATCATCTTTTATCAGCGCCATTATCTTAACTCCTCTCAACATTAATACCATTATTATTAATACCGTCAATATCAATATTATTCAGTTCTCAATCCTTGATATATTCAAGTTTTTCTGTCTGACAGTTAATCGTTTTTAACGAGTTGATCACGAATTGATATCAGTTAGAGAACCATTGAAAAACACCAGGGAGTACTGGACAGCTGTTTCATCCATCTAGTTTAGGAATCATCGGCTGTATGCATCCACCACAGGAGGGTTTGAACCCAGGACATTCTGGTTACAAGGCAAATTTGTATACCATTCAGCCACTGAGACCGATTCAGTGGCCAGTCTATGAATTCTAACTTCTACCAATTCGCGATTTAGAGTGAATCCAACCAATGTCGTCGGTCGGACATCCATCCTCACACGTGACCTCAATGGTCATGACTTCTCACTAAAACTTCAGGAAAATCCATCCTATAATAAGTCACTAGCGAGCATCAGATTAATTTTGAAGAGTTGGTTTGCAAGGATTAGTTTTGTTTTTATGATTTGATCACGGATTGATATCAGTTAGAGAACCATTGAACCACTGGGATCGCGATAAATCACGAATTGGTAGAGGTTAGAATTCATGGATGGGCTGGCCATTGAATTGGGTCCCAGTGACTGAATGGTATACGAGCCAGCTTTCCTTGTAACCGGAAGGTCCTGGGTTCGAACCCCCTGTGGTAGGTGCGTACTGTCGATGATCCCCAAACTAGGCTGATGAAACAGCTGTCCAGTACCCCCCCGGTTTTTTCCAAAATCAATCCGTGATCAGCTCGTAAAAATAAAACTAACTCCCATAAACCAACTTTAGAAAATTAATTGTTTATTTAAGTAGTGCATTTTGTCTTAACTTTATATCCCCGTATGCTGAATATCTAACTGAATAGTTCTACCAAAATTTGATGAATTCATCAAATTCTGCTTTATTAACCACATTTGTTGCCTGTTTTAAATCCTATAACCGAAAAATGGTCTGGATAGATTCAGGGAAAAACAAATCATGTGTACATCAAATTTTTACAGTGCGCATCATTATCTAGACAGAGCCTAAGATCTTAACTTTAATAACTTTGAAAAGTCTTTTCATAGCATCAACCATCATCGAACTAGCCAATGATGTATGGCTTAATTTAAATAGAGATGTACTGGACATGCTCTAAGTGACCTACAAGTGAAATAACACTCATTGCAGACGGTTGAGTGGAACACGAACGGAAGACGACATGTTGAAGATCATGCGAGGAGAAGATGAAAACTTGTGAGCAGTCGTGGAGACAGCTAATTGTGGTAGCAGCGAATCCCATCCATTAGAAATGTGCTAATGAAGTCATTTGATACACCTAGAGCTAGCAATTGAGAAAAAAGAGATAATTATTGTCAAAATGTGATGCTATTCAAGTCTGTTTGCCATGTTTTCTCAGTGGATATATCTTGGTATGACACTGTTGTACTTTTTAAAGACTGATTAGTGAGAAAAGTTTGTCTTTTTCGATAACGTCTGCATCAGGTTCGACAAAATTGTTATTAAGAACAGGTGGACACTGGAATATGCGCAAATATCAAACTAAACTGAATATCAAATTATTGTTATCATTATTGTTCCCTCAGGTTCTCAGTGGAACATAGGGTTTCAACAAAACATCTCCAATTTGCTTTATTTTCTGCCGTTCCCTTCAGATGGCTTGCTCCACGAATGCCAAACTCTGTCATCTCTTCCTCACATGATCGCCTGAATGTCACTCTCGCACCAACGGCCCACTTGTCTCTTCCCATTGGGATTCCACTCGAGTGATGAATTGGCGCGTGGTGCCATTTGACGGTCTCCTCAATGTATGCCCGATCCATCTCCATTTTTTCCTACACGTTTTTTGAGAAATCGGCTCTTGGTTGGTTTGTTCCTAGCCAGATTTTCTTGTTACTTATTCTTTCTGGCCATTAGATCTTGAGTAGGGAGCCAGCGAAGATGGCAGCTGTTGATGAAATTCTTCAACCTGTTGCAAATCATTTTCGTGTTTGACACGCTTTGCAGGTTTCTAACCCGTGTTGGAGGACCCACTTGATAATTGTATTGAAAACGTGAATCTTTTTTTTACGCTGAGTAGTATAGATTGCCAAACTGGTTTCAAATTGATGAAGGCATATCTTGCCTCTACGATTCTGATTAGGGAAAATAATACAAAAGTTATGCTTTTATAGGCTTTACAGCAGACTAGAGTAGCAATATGGGCTGGATCTGTCTCTTTTTGCACAAAGAACTCTATTTGTTTTAAGCGAAGTGAGATGACCTGTGATGTTTGGAGCATTTAGTATCTAGACCCTTTCGGCAGTTTATTTGGTACTTGATAGACGGACGATAGAGGAAGATCCTTCAACGCTAGTTTTGTGGCCTGGTTGTACGAGGTGATCTAATATAGAATGGTTGATACTTTTCTCTTCACCTGTTTTCAACCACACTGGTAGGTAAGTGTTCCTGAACACAAAAGCTAAGTTCCTAGACCAACAAGTGATAGATACACGGTACTTTTACCTTGGGAATCTGATCTGAATCGTGTAATGTACTGCTTCCATTCTAAAATAGTCCGCTTATATCCATGATTCTAAATCATTCTACTTTCCTGTCTATACTGATTTAACAATATGGATAAAACAAGGTCATATCTTCTTGTATTCAATATTGATTGAAATTTATTCATCATTCTTTCTTGAAAGCAATTCCCACTTAACATGCGAATTCCTTTCTTTCCTTCTCCATACGAAAACTATCCAGGTAATGATAAAACGCCAGATGAAATAGACGCCCGCGGTGATGTATTCCGTACAACAAAGTGTTCAGGATATTTGAACGCTATGTCAAATGATGGTAGTCAATTTTCAGAAATGATAACTGTCGAATTTCAGCCAAGGTAATTACTTTCTTTTTCTGTTCACAAAATGCGTCGCCTGATTTCAAGTTTGATAACGAATTAAATTCACTTACAGAACCACTAGAAACCTGTAAGTACTGGACAGCTGTTTCAGACTAGTTTTAGACTCTTCAGTAGTACGCTCTTTCACCCCCCGGAGGTGTCGTGCCGAAATTCTCCAGGTTACGGAACCATTTGTTGGCCATTCATCTGCTGAGGCGAATCGAATGGACCATAAATTCTAAATCCTTCCCATTTGATAAATACGTAATGCAACCGCTGGACAATGGTCATCGATGAGGATTTGTCCCTACAGCCAACTTGATGGATTCTGCTGGACGAAACAGCTATCTGCTACACCCTGGTCTTAGAATGGTCCTCTCACTAATGCCAGTTCATCATCAAACGTGAAATCAATCAAATCCTTGCAAAGGAGCACCGGAAAATATCACCTAACTAATAATAATAATAATAGTGATACACTGTGTTTCTAATATCTTTAACATTTGATTGAATACTAGTAACTAGTGCGATGTGTGTAGTTTTTTGTTCGGTGGTGCTGACTGAATTCTATCAGTCAGCTTTGCAATGTGGCCACCATTCTGTTAGGTAGCTCGCCATCACGATGCACATTGATTTGGTGATATTAGAGGGTTGGAGGTAATCGTCAATCGCATCTCAGAAGGTACATGATTTTCTTCAAGGTTACAGATACACCTTGCTGACTGGTGAGTGCCAACTAACACTAAACCTAGGTCCGAGGCCTCCTGTGGCCAAATGCCTTCAACCATCTAATATCATCTTTAACATTTATTGATTTAAGGGAAGAAAATGTCGTCTGACAGAATAAACAGGTCATGAATTGAGAAAAGAGCTATACACAAAACCTTACTTACTTACTTACTTACTGGGAACAGTAATGAAATACCTAACACTTGTAGAGAGATATTTAAAAGTCACTTACCTAGGAACAGATTTTTCCCGTACCAGGAAGCTATATATATATGGTGTGATAGCAAGTGCTGCTATACAGTAGCCTAGGATGACAGAAGTTAGTCTGGATTCGAACTCGAAACTTAACGACTGAAAGTCAAATGCTCCTATTTACAAACTAGCAATTCGATTTCAGGAAGGAATGAGCAACCGTACATATCCATGATCCTACTTATGATTAAACCCAAGACGCTTAGATCGTGCGGCGAGCTGATCGGCCAACTAACTACTATAACATTTATGCTCCGTGTAGACTAGCTAAATTAAGCTTCCATGTGTGGTCAATATTTCTTATCATAAAAACATCTCAAGTGTAAAACCGTGTAAGTCAGTAGTTCAACGACAGACTGCTCATCAGTCACGCATGTGGTCCGTCTCCAACTCCGTACCGACGCGCTGCTATACGTTGTCTAGTTTACTGGTTGATAGAAATCCTTGAAAAGAAGGAAGGTTCAGTGCCTAACCAAGGTTTAGTTAAAACCTTCAAAAGCATAAAACTAGCAGCTCTTTATTCCACTCCGAAAGCAAAGCAGTAAATAGTAATAAAATTTAGGAAATAAATTTTTACTCAAAAATATCGAGTTTCGAGTGAAGAGACTGATAAATAATTTAATTTTTAATTTTTTAATTTTTGATTACAGCTTGATTCCACACTGTATTTTCGTACAAGTATGGAATTTTCAGCATGGATATCGGTAGCCCAAATTTTTCAGGCCGACCATAGATATCAGGTGTGCGTCTGCAATGGATCGAACCTCGGACCATATGCATGGTCGGCGAGAGTCCTAACCACTGTGCCACCGACGTCGAGATGTAGAATGAATTAAATGAATACCCACTTAGGTCATGTGTGATGAATTGGTTTATTTTGAAAGTTAATGATTTTTTTAGAACTTTTGATTAGCTATTTTACACCGCGATTTAATAAGCAATTATCATATTACGTCATCTGGATCATGTCTATTTGAAACATGGCTTAGTTAGCTTTAAACTAACAAGTTTAATAATTGATTGGTTACAATAATCCCTTCCTACAAGGGATTTATAAAACAGCAATGCAAAGATATTACACTCATTGTAGGTTAAACTAAAGGCAAAGTACCAGTGAAAGAATTTGAACAACACCGGTAGTATATATTCATGCGTCGATGATTCAATGACAGAATTCTCACTACTCACTCAGGTGGTGACTAGTTTGATTTCCAGCTGACGAACATCTAAACTTCACCGAGTTTAGTAACCTGTAGTAATTCATGTGAACTGTGATCAAGATTTGACCGAATAGTTCCAAAATATTATTTGGCGCCGAGTGACAATTAGACATTTGTAAATATTATATTTGTCAATTCTCAGTGGAATTGAAATGAGTAATTCCAATGTCTCTTGCGTTCGGCAAACTGGTCGGTCCGAACTTCTCCAAGGGAAATTAATCGAAATTAACATAACAGGGGTTTATACAAATACAAAAAAAGGACTCATTTTCAATTCCGTAATTAATTTTCAACCCTCTTTTAAAACTTCGATATCTTGTTACTAACATCTATTAGTTATTTGTCTTGATGACCTTTAACCTCTTAAATTCACCCCCCCCCCACCTGTACTTAAAACTGATTAACTAAAATAACCACTTGATTGGGAAAACATTTTGATGTAAAAAAAAACTGTATATATTAGTGTGGAGTCAGCTGATGATGAGGAACTAATTGAAAAGGAATATATTTCTTCTCTGAATGTGTTGTTTTTCTAAAATATAGATATCTTTCGGTTTTTAAAAACTTCGTCAAATCATGACTGATGAAACAGTAATCGGAATATAATAAACAGAGCTGTGGTCAAAATTTGATCTGACTTATAAATATTAGTCTACTTTTGTTAAACACTTTTTTAAACAGATGTACGTTTTATTGGTGGATGGTGACTAGCAGTGGAATGCCGGATGCGCATTTCGTCCTATTTGGGACTCGTCATCTGGATGTGTACATTTCATCAGGATTTTATCAGGATTTTAGTGAAGACGTTTGACTAAAAGTTCATCATCGTAGATAACTGAATATGAAAAAGAAATATTTATATATGCGGTATACAATGGTGTGTGTGTGTGTACGTGTGTATGGGAAAACAGTTGTAAAACATTTGTTAGCCTCTCCATAAGAAAATATAGACAATCGGGAGTTTAGATCATATCCATTTTTATTTATTAATCATGACTCGTCATGCATCAGTTAACATCACACCTTCACGTCTGTTCAAAATTTTGAGGTTCACTTATATATGTAGGGCTTCTACAGTCAGTCTTTCTTTATACGAACCAAAGCGTTTCTTAAGAACCTTAATCCCATCAAAATCGATCTTGTGTCCCATTCTAACGAATACAGTGCAATCGCCAATCCGTTTTCTAGTTTCTTCAAGTATACAGAGGTCTTTGAAACCACCTTTAAATTGATATAAGTATAAAACTTGGGCACTATTGTTTGTGCTCGAAACGTCATCAGTCCACCTTTAAACATTGTTTATGCTTTTTCACTATTACATTTACCTGTATGGAACTTTCTGCTACATATACGGCATCACAATTCAGACAACTGATCTGGTACACGCAGTTCTGTTGGTTGTCTTCTTCTGTTTTATCCTTAACATTCACTAGTGATGAGCGTAAGGTGTTAGCTGCACGAAAGTACACTCCTGTGTCATGATTATTAAGTATTCGCTTTATATCATTCGATGTTTGTGTGCAGTAAAGAATCATCATTGTGTTGACCCTATTCTTAACAACACAATTTGACTCATCCTGATCTTCAGATTTTAAATTTATTTTTATGAAGTCTTTGGGGTAATTATTTAATTCAAGAGTGGACTGAACCAATTTTATTTCCCTGCTGATCTCTTTCTCCTTAGTAATTACGGACGTTTGGCTCTGTTAATCAGATTCTTGACCACAGTTATTTTGATGGTAAAGTCGTGTGCTAAAAAGTAGTCTAGGTGCCTGTCGAAATGTGTCGGCTTTCTGAAACGATTGGATAAAGTTTGTAAAAATTAGAGATATCTCTTTTCTATACATAAACCTTTGATATTTTCATTTCGATTAATTTCCCTGAAGAAGTTGGGACCGACCAGTTTGCCAAACTCAAGAAACCTTGGAATTACCCATTTCAATTCCGCAGAGGCTTTTACAGAAATAATTTTTACATAACCGGGAGTAAGTCTAGGAAAGAGGGAAGGTTGCGTTTGGTACGATCAGTCCTAACCCATAAAATAAGCAAAATTATAGCCTCTAAAGTCTCACAAGCTTGAAACCTTAATTTTCACCTGGAACATAAACGAATGCAATAACATTTAGTAGCTGCTAGTTTCCATTCAATTTATTCGTTACTGTCAGACCAATTACCAAAATATCATCAAAATAAAATAGAACCGGATCAACAGAACATGGTGAGTACAATCCCGAATTCCCTCATACTACACTTTTTTTCCATATTTTTTATTTCCCTTTAAATCAGAAAAACTGGTCGTGTTGAAACGACATGGAAATTTGAAGGAATTCTTGGAGAGCAGACACAATTTATTAAACTAATCGGTTCTGGAAGTCTTGATGAATGTTTCAATACAATTTAGTCATTTTTTTTTAAATCCACCTGTTCTACATTTTCTTTTCCTCCTCTGACAATAAAAAATCATGTATACGATTATAATATAAATTTATAATACTTTGTACAGCGTTGTTTTACTGTTTTATCGTATAAACCTTTTCAAGGTCATTTTCATGGCACTTAGTTTGTGTTTAAAATGAACTAAAGTCCAATGAGGATAAGTAATGCACGAGATGTTTTCGTGTATAGCATAACGAAACGCCATCAAAGATATTTCCAGTAGTGTGAAAAAGTTGATAAAACACATTTAAAACAATCAAAAGTGAATATAATTGGTGGATGGTGACTAGCAATGGAATCCACCAGGATGCACATTTCGTCCTATTCGGGACTCGTCAGCTAACTGGATGTACCTGCATTTCCCAGTGAGTGATGATGTTGTCACCGAGGCTCGAATCCAGTGCTCACACTTTCAAACTCCAAAGTATTATCCACTAGACCAATTGGGCCACGACAGCCAACTCTTGTGCACCGGGTCGTAGTAATTATTTAATTGAATTTTTGATTTTCCCGTCAATTGGGCACTGAGTTCAAGCCTCGGTGGGAACATCATCACTCCCTGGAGAATGCAGATACATTCAGTTAGCTGACGAGTTCCAAATAGGACGAAATGCGTATTCTGGCGGATTCCACTGCTAGTCACCATCCCCCAATTCAATTCTAATTGTATACCCAGACATTTTCGAAGCATCTACACAAGAAGCCGACATGTCAACCTGAGACTGAGCACTTCGGTTCAGTGAATCGACAGGAAAATCTAAAATTTAATTAAAATCAAAGTGACATCTTGTATGATTACAGTACTTCTTTTAGGATGTAATACAAAATCACACACGACGAACTACTTGAGGAAATTCAAATTTCCTGATTACCGGCCTTCGTTCTACTCATTCAAGTAGGTTGAAACAATAGCGCAGCAAATTTTTTTTACCACCGCCAATATACATACTGACTCGCCAAGGTCTGTTGCAAGAATTGCACAATAAGTAGATTATACAAATTCTACTTTGATTTATTTAGCACTAATAGATTTCATACATTTAGTCCCCTTGGTAAATTTTGATAAAGAAAAGAAGACGAAATTTGCAATATAAAATAATATCATCATTTTATTTCACAGGTCCTCATCAGCTGTAGACAACGGCTGTAGAGATGATGATAATAACATACTTTATTGTTTAAGTGGTAGTAGAGAAGAAATACTATAAAAATTGACGCATCCAAAATGTAAGCATTGTAATTTATACACCGTCAAAGTTGGAAAGAGGGGAGAGGGACAAGACAGAAAACACAAAAAATTTAACAGGCAGTTTTAGCTTGTAGGTTCACATAGCAACTCAAAAAAACAAACGCGTGGCCCAAGTGGTCTAGTGGATAACGCTTTGGCGTTTGAAACTATGGGTACTTGGTTCGAGCCTCGGTGGAACATCATCACTCACTGAGAAATGCAGGTACATCCAGCTGACGAGTCCCAAATAGGACGAAATGCGCATCCTGGATTCACTGCTAGCCACCATCCACCAATTGTATACAAACGCGATTACAGTTTATGAGATTTAGATTTGTTCAGTGAGTTCAGATCACTGAATTAGATGACTAATAATTGCAATCAAAATCAAAATCCAGTTACGAAGGTAGTGGGAGAATAATCACACTCTCTTTGTGTATGCATAAGTCTGGTTTAAATAGTTTGATTGTGATTGTATTGGCAAATCGTAGTAAATTTGCTGTCCTTTGTCTATTTAATATTTTGAGGGACTTAGAAATCTCCACTAGGTGACCAGTATCAACAATATATCTGGTAGTTGCAGACGTTTCTTGGAATATGTTCAGAAAACTATCTTTCCAATGTACTTGTTCCCACAAATGAACGTAAATTCGCAAACGCAGTTGGAGGTGACATAATCAGGGTATTTATCCAGTTTTGAGTGGCTTATAGAAGAAGTGTTGCAGTATAATGTTATGAGTTTAGCTTCAAGGAATCTTCTTTTTGTTGCACCTTTCATTCTTTTGTCAATCTTTTGTGACACTGCATTTTCCTTGAATGGGAGACAAATAAACACTTTCTTCTTTTCTACAGTTGGATGTTTTTCTTTCTTATCTTTTTCTCTGCTATACTTCTGTATAAATCCCTTAGGGTATCCATTTTCTCTTAGGTATTTCTCGACGAAATCTAATTCTTCTTCGACCTTGCTCAGTGAACGTAGCTTCCTGGCTGTGTCGTACAAAGTCCTCACTAATCCACATTTATAACTTATGTGACAAAAGCTGTTATAGTGTAGATATTGCCTAATTCAGGTTTCTTTTCTATAGATGGATTTTTCGATCGTACCCTTGTTTTTTCTTTATACATTTAGATCCAGGAAAGTGAACTCAATGTTATGTTGATAGAGATGAATGTAACATACTCTGAAGAGAGTGTCAAGTGAAAACACATATCAAACTCTTGAGTGAGCAAAGACACGTTAGGCGTTCGAAGGTGAGATGATGAAGGTTATGAGAGGTGAGGATATGAAAGCTTCTAGGCAGTCGTAGAGCCAGCTAAGAGAACCTCTGAGAACAAGGTGTAGTGTAGGCGCCCTGCTGAAGCCTTATGTTCCACTTGGAACCAAAAGGAATAACAGCAGTAGTATTGAGTGCGAAAATAATATGTGGTTACATAGATAAATAAAACCCGCTGTTGTCAAACCAAACTATCAAAATAACAGATTAACATTTTAGTCATTCTGGTGTGCTACAATCGAAATTCATTCAGAATTTTTAATCAGTGATACTGAATAATAAACTGCACACACCCACACTCATGCCAACACCACACATAAACCTAGACATGTAGAATAAAGTCAACTAATAAATAGTGTCATATAAGTTGAGTAGTTGGTTTTACATAACTTGAATGTGTTTGTCTGCACAATTGATTAATCTCCTAACCGAACCTAAGTCTTACTAACATTTGGCTTCAGACTAATAAAAACCTGAGTATGATAAGTTAAGTTTTAAGGGAAGTCATTTAGTGCACTTGGAAGGGTTTGATTAACTGCCAAGTATCAGCTAACGTCATTTGGTAAACATTGAATGCCAAATTATACTAAACAGCTTCTTCGTGTCTTGATCAATTCACCTGCTCGTGTGGAGCTAGGTATATCGATCATTCGACTCGATTTTTCTTCAACAGGGTTCAAGAACGCTATCCTGGTTGGTTACAAAGAGGTGGAAGTGGAGCAATAAAAAGCGTGATCATTGGACATCTGGTCGATAATGATCACCCTATCGCTATAGCCTCCGCCTTTAAAGTCATTACAAGGCAAAGAGTAATTTACCCAAATCCCTGCGTAGCCGACTCACCTGTATTGCTGAAGCCATCTTTGGCTATTGAAACAGAAAAGCCAGATTTCTTTGTACAGAAAAAGTTCGTTCAACTCCACCCCTCCAACTTGCATGGTCTTAATCCCTCTATGCTAAAGTATGGTAATCCCTACCAATTTTTTGATTTTTTCATTCTGTCTATTCAATTTGTATACTCTTCCTTATTACGTCAATTGTTACTATTACTACTCTCACTTTGTACTGTCCTCAATATTATTTCACTTGTTCCACTTGTCATTCTAAATCAATTCCTTTTACAACTTTAAATTCTATGCTATCAAATTTCACACGATATTAAGTAACGATTTTATTTTTATTTTATTCGATTTGTCTATCTGATATCTGTGGTCGGCCTGGAAAATTTGGGCTACCGATATCCATGCTGAAAATTCCATACTTGTACCAAAAATACAGTGTGGAATCAAGCTGTAATCAAAAATAAAATATAAAAAAAAACTGAACACCCATTTTCAAGTCCTATCCACCCTATGCATTATTATATATATGACATTAATTTGCTTTGCCACCTGACATGTAACTATGATTATAATCACAAACATTTTAGTTTTTTAATTGCACATCATACTACTATTATTATTATTATTTTATGCATTCATACCTATGATTCAGTTACCTCATCAGAGTAACTTCTTAAAAACCATATATATACGACTGTACAGCTTGATGATATATTCGTTGAAAAGAGTCTCTTCGCTGAATCACACGTTTTGATTATCTCCTCCTATGTAGCGATCAATCAATCCCCCAAAGAATCAATGAGAGGTGAATCACATTTCAAAGTTAACACGCTACCACTAATCTACAGTGTGCTGAAGTATTACATGATTACTAAAATACAAATTTGGTATATTACAGGAAGAGAGAAGCAGGTGGCCGTTTAAAGTGGCCGCCCTTTGCGCCCTTTGACTTGAGGTCTGATCTATAAGACAATGTAGCAGCGTCAAGAGCTACATTCCTATTGTTTCCAGTGACTGAAACGGGTTTATTCATACGCCATTCTATCTCTTCAGACGTTGTGCATCAAAATTTTGAAGTCAACGTTTTCTAGCATGTTTACCACTCCGGTTGTAAGCGGTAGATGTTTATATTCACCTTTTTCTTTTTAGTGGAAAACACTCTCAGCTCGTGAATATAGTGAACAGAAATTAGCTGTCAGTGGCTATGAAAAAGTGGAATCGATGGAAGTCGACTCAGTTTCAACCATACCAGGTCGTTCGTTTATGGAGCCAGTATGTTTAGATAGCTTTGAGAAATGTTAGTGTAAAACCACGAGTTCGTTGTAAAACTTCAGTCTAGTAAAAGAGATCGTGACAGACGTCCAATAGAACAGCCAATAAAAAAGATGAAATTACTTTCCGAAAAATTTAGTTTTTTGTGGGCAATCCAGTGGTTGGCGAATTGCATCATTATTTACGTTATTCTGCTTGATGTTGACTAGCAGTGGTATCCACCATGATACACATTTCGCCCTATTTCAAACTATTCAGCTGGATGCAACTACTATACGTGATAAGTGGTGAACTTGAACCTTCACGCCACACTCACCTTTTCAAAAACCAAATTATTGTCCACTAGGCC